AGTCCTCTGTAGAGGGTGCCATTTTGCATTGCTTCAACAGTACTTTTTACAACATTAGGCTACAAATAATAATTATTTTAATGAATTATTTACCCTTACCTCTTCTGTCTTCAGCTGTTTCCGTGTGTGTTCTGTTTGCTGGGTCCTCACTGCCGTCCGAGGCCCCATGATGTGCCTGCAGGGCCATCTTCAGTGCCTCCTTGTTCCGCGGCTCCCTCCTCACAGCAGCTGGCGGGCCCCATACTATCTCGGACAGCGGACGGGCCCCCTCCTTTTCAGCGCGTCGCGGGGCGGCAGTGGCATAACCAGAGTTGCAGGCGCCCGGGGCAGAACAAAATGTTGCGCCCTCCACAACCATTATATCACCACCTCATCAATACTAGTACAATAATAGTGTTATCAGTGATTGATGGCTCTAGAATTATTGCTCTCACTGCGACGTTCAAGGCGATATGTAACATGTGCAAGGCGCAATTGTCGTTTTTCACACGTAGGCACTCCGACGCGTGTGTATGTGGGGGGCGGGGGACTTAAACATATTTTTTCCCATTTTTTAAAAATGTTTTGTTACTTTAATTTTTAAACACTTTTTTTTTGTACACGAACCCTATTGGTATTACATAGGGGGCTAACAAGCACCCTGTGTAATAGCCGATAGGGTGTGACAGGCGTGGTCCTCTAAACAGGCATGGTAGAGGGCCGCCCGCGGGGGCCTCCAGAGGACCCACTTGAGAATCGAGCGACGGCAGATTAGAGAGCCGAGTCTGATGCGGGCGGGCTGACCGGGAGCTGCGGTGACGGCCGCATGGTCAGTTTGCCCCTGCGCCCGTCGCTACGCCATTGGCCTGACACTCCCAGCGCAGAGACTGGGGGCCCGCCGACCTCTGGATACCGATCCGGTGCTATCCGGCGGCCGACAACTGTGCTGGGCCCCCCAAGGCTGAGGCCCCAGTGTGGCTGCTCCGGCGGTAGTTCCGCCACTGCTTATCATGGTATATTAGCTTTGTGAATTGAGCACAATGTGACCAATACATTTAAATACAGTGTGGCAGATTTACTAAAGTAGTAGAGCATGCTCATTTTGCAAAGTGAATTTTCCCTTTGGAAGAGAACTTTCATTTAGTAAATGAGGTGAAATGCCTTCTATCATTCAATCGTGTAAAAAGTCCTGTTGATTTATTTTCTTTCCCTGAGATTGGATATTCTTTGCAAAGTTAATTTTCACCACTTTAAGGTAAGAAAAAATTCCCTTGCAAAGTAAAAAATTCTCTTTTTAAAGTACTTATGCTCTACTACTTTAGTGAAACCAGCCACAGTGTGTCTGATACACTCACAAACACTTCCCTGGTCATGCAGGCATATTTCAGCAGTGACCATTGGTGTAATCTGCTGAAAGCCAGCTTTTTGTCACAGAAAGGAACACCTCCAAGTCATTTTGGGCAGTTAATTGTTCTTCTTTGGGTGCTCGGACAAAACTCTCTGTGCACTAATTAGTAATATAATATTAGTCTTCCCACATCATCTTTTTACAATAAAACTATCACTACAAATCCTTTTATATTCATAAAAGGAGATTGAAAGGATGGAAACCTTTGTTTTAAGTGGGTATTTTACCAGTTTCCCATGAAAGCTTAGTGCGAGTGTAAGTGATCATCCCTGACCAGCTGCTCACATTACATAGGGAGACATTTATGGCAAAGCAGTGCTAAACATGGACAGTGAGGCAAATTGTGCGACACCATGACTCATAAGTTCCTTCCTCAGCTGCTCTAAAGTAGCACTGCAATAGAATTAAACCTGACGCTGACCACTTCTTAAATATACAACTGTTTAGACTGTAAATCTGTCTCATCTTCAGTAATAAAGCTATCTAAAAACTCTGCCGCACTTGGCTGCTCATGAATACGGACACAGAGACTTTTCTGAAGGAGAGGCAGCCTGATTTGGACTAATTATGTTGCTACTTTGCTTGATAATTGTCCCCCATGATGTACCCAGCTCTGGCCAGCTGCTCACAGCACATATAATTGATCAAAACTGGAGCAGACAGAATCTGGAGCACTTAGCCACAGTAACCAATCAGCTTCTCTTTTCAGTTTGTTCAGTTAAAGTGTATTTCCACTTTTGCAGCTAAACTGGGATAATATCTATTTTATATTTGTTACTTTATATTGATATTTGTTTGTTATATATATGTTTCCATTGGCATAGCATAAGCTAAACAAAATTTTTAAAAATACCTTTTGCCGTTTAAATTTTACTTTAAACTGAGTTTCTTGACCTCTTAAGGGTTAACATTTCTACTTCTTCTTTGTAAGGAGTGGTTCTGAGGGATAAGGGGTTTGTCCATTATAATATGTAAAGTAGATTTGTACACTGCCTGTCCTAGCAAGGAGTTAAATGATGAAATGCCTGGCTACTTCATTGTATGTCAATGCAGTTAGGGCCGGTTCACACCACAAACAGTGCATTCCAGAGCGGTCAGGCTCTGGAATGCACTGGATCGCATTCCGGCCAGCTTCCTGCGTTCAGGGGCATGGCGGTGCATTGAAGTAAATGGCACAGTAGTCACGCCCCCCCGTTCGCAGTGCGATCGACCACACCACAACGCGTGGCACATCAGTGCCTGCATTGCGGTCCAGTACGATCTGCAAAAATGCTGCAAGCACTATTTTTGAACATCGCACTGGACCAGGCACTGATGTGCCACGCATTCTGGTGCAGATGATCGCACTGTGGATGCGGGGCATGGCTAGAATGCCATTAACTTCAATGCACCACCATGCCCCCTCCCGCCCCTGAACCGAGGAAGCTAGCCAGAATGCGATTCAGTGTGTTTCAGAGCCTGACCGCCCTGGAATTCATTGTTTATGGTGTGAACCGGCCCTAAATGAGAGAAACACAATCCTCAAATTTCAGTCCTAAGTCCTTCCTTTAACGACATACCAATCTGAAGGTGCTCAAAAATGTGGATTCAGCCAAGTTACCTGCTGTAACAAAACATCTAAAAGATTAGTTTTTAAAATTATTTTTCGTTATGCTGTGTGAATATAGAGGGGTTTTCTCAAATTTGACTGCAAAATTGGAAATACACTTTAAGCTTTGAAAATGAAAGATAAAAGCTGATGGGTTGCCATGGGCAACTGCTCCAGTTTTGATAAATCCTCCTAATAATGTTTCACAGTGACCAGCTACTCACGGTTCATGCAAGTTTTATTCCTGTCATCTTTGTTCTATAAAAAAAGGTTGCAACTCTCCTTTTACCATAGGAGCATTCTAACACCAGAAAGGAATGTAGCTTGAAAGTGGATGTGTCTCCTCTGAGATCTGATGCCCTCTAGATCTGCGTTGCAGTGCCGACAAGTCTGTAACACACACATTGTACATGCAATAGTGCAAAATGTGCTGGTGTAGATATTCTTTTATCATTAGTGTTTATGCCCCCGCCACACATTGTTCCAGCATTAGTGTCCAAAACAAAACTAACTGTGCACTCCTATGGTGCAACTTTTTCCCCAGTCTGCACTTGCTTCTCTAGCTGCTCCACTTAACCACATTTGTCTGTGTCCACACTTCCACTACTTCCACTCACAAATAAAATATTATGATGATGTTGCTTGGTCCCTCAGAGTGATATGACAGTAAGGTAGAACTAAATACTTCCATGCACTGTGGCATAAAGGGTAGCTTGTACTGACTTTCAAGTCAAGTAACATGTATCTTTAGGTTCGGGATCTGCAAAACTAGAAGCAGATTTTCCTTTACTCAATCAAAATTTAGATGGTGGTTCTAATAGACCTGACAGGCAGTCCAAAAGCTAAATGAAGGAGTTCACATGGCAAACTGACAATGCTGGTGCTAATTGCAAAGCAGTGACTTAGCTTTGTAAGCGTGCAACAAGAAGAGCTGCTACTGTCAGGATTTCCATGTAAGAAACTTTGCAACAGATTTAAAAAAAAACTGATTTGCTTTAAAAAAATCTGTATACAATTGGAATGATTCTAAACGGTACTGAAACTAGATTTTGGGTTTACATACACATTAGGGCCATTGTCACACTCTATATTGCTAATTTGTAAATGTCTAGGGGAAAAGCAATGTCTCATTTGTTTATGGAAACATGTCAACCGCTTGTCCTACCTTGTCCTCAGTGTGTGTATTTGTGTGTGTTTTTCTTGTATTCCCAGGATTATTGTGGGTTAAGATGGGTGAGCTTCACATGTATACATGATATATGCAGGAAGATGGCCAGCAATCTTTGCTGCTGAGGTCGAGGATGATAGGTAGTGGAGGAAAATAACCTACGTCTGCTATCAGAATTTGGCTTTGTTCTACTAGTTCCACTAGCTATCCTCTGGCTACATCCTCAATGTCACTTTACAAACTGTTTTAGAGTGTTCAAAAACGAATTTAATGAAATATAATATAATCATACACATTATGGCAGTATTAAATTAAAATGTAAGCTGTTAGACCCTCATGGAGGCATCTGAAAAATGGTACAACTGCTTGTGAACCTTTTGCAGTTGTCTGGTAAGGTTCTATAATACGTTCTGTGTAGATACTGCAAAATTAGCCTGTAAGTTACTCCATATAGGAAATAAAGGAACAACTGTATTATGAGGCACGAGCTGATACAGCTACTCAACAAAAGGTGTAGGGATTACTGAATCTCCATGCCTAGTAGTGATTAGCTGTGTATTCAGTATACTTGAGATGCCTTATCCCTGTAACAGAAACTTACCTAATGTCAGTGCCACAACTTTGCTGCAACTATCTCTAAACTTGTAGATGTAGATTCTAGTGATGCATGATTTGAGCTAAAAAAACCCTGTTTAGTGAAGTCTGCAGTCCTAGAGATTGATTCAGGCAGGGTTTAAACTGCCTAAAAATTGTGGGTGGGGAAACTGAGAGAAGCTTAGACCAATGTAAAAAACTGAAAACCGAAACTTAAATGTCTCGATAATTTAGCAATTCTTTGTATTCCTTATGTACATTAGGACAAGTATGAAGAAAGGTTCCTTATAGATGAACAGGCAAAAGGTAATGATCCAAAGCCTCATTCTCCACCACCACAACAAGTTCAAAGGTGGCCAATTACTTTAAGACAAATCAAAGTCAGATCAAAACCGGTCCAAAAGCCTGTTGTGCGAGGTGTAACATTTTACAAGGCCAAAGATACAGAAGATGACAGTGACTTGGATGATCTACGTAAGTAAAAATTAATATCATTTATTCCCTTGGTGCCTTTTCTTTAATAATTTTTTTTAATTCTAACCTATTTTCCTCCACATATGACATATGGTCATTAAAGCATACTGTATAACTAAAAAGGTTCACAGATTAACTGCATATTCTAAAAAATACTGTTCTGAAACAGCAGTATAAGTAGGGGTAGGCATTAGTAGTATTACCTCCCTGAATGAATAACAAATATGTATACAATGCCTTCTTTAAGCAAACATGTGTTTTCCCCAAGCAGGACAAACCAACAAGGTTGCTTTAATACTTCTACACAACAACACATGCCTTTTCTTTGCTTCCTCAACCACTCTGCTTGGTGGCAGGGAGTGAACAAAGAAGCTCTGTGTAAGCTTAGGAACACTCCAGTTGGCCATTACACAAGGCTCAGCACTCCCATGTGACAGCACTAGGCCAATCAATAAGCTCCTGGAATTTCCAGTATTGTGCTGAAAGGGAATATGTTTTACTTAACTAATACAAATAGAGTACCATATTTACAATCACCACAAGCCACAACAGGTGACTATTACAAGTGTTAAAGGTAGAGCTATGTGGTAACCTTTTTTTTCCGTATAATTCTTTTTAGGGTCACACGAGGACATATGCTTACGTCCTCTCATGACCAAAAAACTCAGTATATAGTGGACTATTGCCCTCTATATGCTGAGAGTGCCACAGCCGGGACAGATCCTGACAATACTGTTGAGATCCATCCCGCTGGCTGATTGACAGTAGGCTCTGCCTATCTAGAGGCAGAGCCAGCTATGCCCGCCCCCTCCCAAGTCAGCACTGGAGGATCGGAGAGGGTAGAAGGAAATCCCTCTGGGGAGTGACACAGTCACCGCTCTCTGCAGGGAGAGGAACAGGAAGCGAGTGGCGGTATGTTCTCGCTCACTTCCCGATCAATAGAGCAGATATGTGACAATTTCTTTTTTTTTTTATTCTTTTATTTATACAAACATAAGAGCACTTATACAGAACCAAAAATCCAAACAAATGGGCCTTGCGGCCAGGCATTGTCATACATTTGCACTCATCTTCAGGATAATATATACAGAACAGTCGAGCCCGGCCAAACCCCCACACTATTCACTTATAAAACAATACTGTCGGGCCTGCATCAGTACTCCCATGACTTTTTCCGTTTTACTAACATAGGATTCACGTGTATACACTGAAAACAAACCAACTCTATCAAGGATGCTATCCCGCGGCTGGCGCGGATAGTCCCCTGGTTACCCAAGGAGGGCAAAGGGAAAGGAACTACATTACAAAGAGTAGAAGACTACACGTATCACAAAAGACAAGACATTCAGGGAAGGGGAAGATAACACCCAAGTCCCGGTCCACAGGAGCTTCCTTCCTGCGATCGTCACCACCTGTATTTACCCCTGGTTGACCTGGGGAAACTCCGACGAATCTCTGAACACGTACCATGCTGCCCAAGTCGCCACAAATTCTTTCTGGGTCCTACGAATTGTTGAGGTCAGGTCCTCCATCAGCCTGATCTCCTACACTCTGCGCACCCACATCTCCACTGATGGTGGTCGGGTCTGCCTCCACAGCGCCGGGATACATGCCCGCGCCGCATTTAGTAGGTGAATCAGTAGGGATCGTTTATATGCCTTACGCGAAAGCGGTGTCAGGTGGAGGAGATACGCTGCAGGAGTAAGCGGAAAGGTCACATCCGTGATCTTCTGAGCAAGGGTGGCAATCTAGGCCCAGAAAGTAGCCACCCCCGTGCATTCCCAAAAGATGTGCAGTAGGGAACCCACCTCCTCCTCACATCGCCAACACGTCTCTGGCACCGCTGGGTACATAAAGTCCGGCAGGAGGTTCAGGCGGTGTCCGCGGAGGTTTCCGCGGTTACGGAGTCCTGTGCGGCGATCGAGGCTCGCGTTCAGCGCTTGGAGCAGGCCTATGTCCCCTTCCTTTTCCCAACCCCCGACCTACAGTAGAGGTCACTACGGTAATCCCACTGTGGACCAGGCGGACCCTAAAATGTCATTTGGTAGCACTTCTGGCGCGCGCGCGGTGGCAATGCGCCCTGATCAACCACTGGCAAGACTCTCGCGGATACGAGGGCTAGTCGTGCGATCAAATGTTTGAAATGCCGTAGTCGATTTGTATGTTTATTACCATTATCAGAGTTCTCTGTATTTTTGTTGTGATCTCATGTGACACTTGTACATTCTGAGAAATACACTCTGTATTTATGTTGTGATCACATGTGACACCCTTGTCTGCTGATATGTTACGTAACTGTTCAATAAAGGATTTATTAAAAAAAAAAAACGATAACGTTGTATGTACAACTGTCCCTGTGTCCATGTGAAGTTGTCTGCAAACATGGTCTACCCTTTGGGCCTAATCACCAATAGTATTAGCATATGTGTGTAAATAAATACATGGAATAGGCTCAGTTTTTGAACCATGTTTCTTTAAACCATGCCATTCAACAGTACCACAGCTTTTCTCTCATCGGGGTGCCCAAGGGTTCCCCAGGACATTTACAATGTTCCCAACGGCTGTTATGTGTTTGTCAAATGTCCTTTCACATTCTTAGAGAAGCCAATGAAAGAAAAATGTTTTCAAATCAGCAACTTGATGGTGTTGAAAAGATTTATGGTCTGCTTCTGGTGAAGTCACCAAAAATAGACTGGCAAGTTATCTTAATAGAGGACAAAAATATTATCATGGCTGTCTGACGAATATGAACTCAACATTGTACGTTTGTGCAAGTTGTGTATTACCTTAAATCATTTATTTCACATCATATTTTCTTCTCCAGTCACGAAGTGACTGCTCACTTCGTGTTGACATCAACAAATGTGTGAATGCTGTAAGAAAGAATTATGGCCAGTCCCCACTGAAGTCACCTTATTCATAGGTTGCCAACTAAACCTTCTTTATTAAGACATTGTATATGGATGACTAATTAATTCCAAGCACACTGTGCTCTGTACACTGGCCATGGGATTCATGTCAATATATTAAGATGCTTTAAATAGGTGTTCTGCTTGAGTTATCTGTAAATTGAAGTATCTACATACAATATTGTCACTGATCAAGTATTCAACAGCCAGAGATGTTGCCTTAGGTAGTAGACTTTGCATATTTGTCTAGGTAGGCAATTTTATACAGCATCTCATTATAATGTATGGGATCCTTTTAAAATAGTAACACAAGCAACATCAGTGCATATAGGCAACAAAACAAAAGAAAATGGTCAACATTAGGCAATGAAATTGCAGTAGAAAAAAAATTGGTCATACACATTACAATTTAAATGTACAATTTACTAAGGTTAAATGAACATACTTGTAAGGAAATTTAAAATCACACTGTAAGAAAAAATGATTGTAACATGTGAAGCCAGTTTTCAGATCAAATATATTTTTTTTAATGGTTTATTCAGTTAATGTTTCATCCAGCCTTATTTACATTCAATTTACTTTAATCTGTGTTATTTATATCCACGACATCCACAGTACACACTACGAACACCAGCTAGTAAAATAAAAATAAGTATCACATGATTGTGAATTCAGGTAAGTTTTTTAGGTATTAGAAGTATTAGGAATTTAGTAGATTTTTAATTGTTCGCTCCCACCGGGAAATCAGCTTTATTGTAGAACTATAATCTCCTAATAAAAAATATGTCCTGCAGCACTTTATTATAGGTGAATCTGCACTTACAATTTTCCCTCAGTCTCCCTGTAAAGTCCCACAAATACCTGCTGAGCCTGCCAGTGAAATCCACCTAATCCAGCCTCCTGTGATGATATGGTAACATTGCTGCACTGCTCCTTAATTCATAACAGAATGTGTAGATACTCTGTTGTTTTGAATAAGGTAGAGAATAAAGCTGTGGCTTCCTTCCTGTTTTCAAGCCATGTGCAGCATGCATATCAGACTGTGTGCTTGTGTTTTTCTGTGAGGCTGTGCAAGAAGTTCCAACAAAAGGTCCACTTCATCAGATAAGTGACAGACAAGACAAAAGCAGTGACAAGTGAGAACAATGATCTCAACAAACTTTAGGTCAAGGTCACCCTCAAAGCAGTGTCACATCAGCACAGAAATTCCTCCTCAATTAGAGTTATTTATTCAGGAAAACCAGACAAGGGCAGGATTCAGACTACTGTGGCTGGTAAACTCAAAAGAAAAACATCCTGAGTTCTACTGCTTTGCAGTGGAAGATGGTGTGGGGCAGTGCGGGAGGCCGGATGCCACTCACCAAGTTGCAGAAAATAGAAGAGATATTGGGGAACCTGGGCAGTGGCATCCTGCCCCCTACACCTTTGGGCAAAAACAGACCCACACAGCTGTGTTCTGTGTTGAGCAGGGGTCTGACTCTAGAGTGCTGCTAACACAGGGTACGTTAACCCGTCTGCAGCAAATAGAATAGGTAAAAAAAATATAAGCCTTTAAAACGATCCTCACTGGACTTCCTCCTTAATAGCGCAATGATTCAGATTTTGCAGAATCACAAGGGAATTGTTGAATGTGTTTTTTTATGCTATTATCAATGTATACCCTGCTATAATCTGGAAGTCTGGAGAACATTCACTTTAATAAGTACTAGATGACAGTTCTTGAGAACACTGTACTAGTTCGTGCCTTGTACACTATGCACCATATGGAGAAGAGCTCATAAAAATAGGATTTCCTATTTGGTACGATGGGCCTGAAGAACATTTGAGGAGTCATTTTCTAATTAAACTAATATGTTTAATTACTCTGCCTATTTCATACCTTAACTACACAGAAAAACTTTGCCAAAAAGCTTTCACTGGTTTTTTTTGTCATTTTTCACATACTTTTCTTTAGTTCACTCTTCCTCCTTAGACAGCTTCTGTAAAGTGTTTCTTGATATATTGACAGAAAGCAAATAAGTGCCTACAAACTGTCAACAGAGCTTTGGCACAACTTGATTTTCTTTCTCCAGTCACCTAACAACTAGGTTG